ACTGTCATCATCGTCCTCATCCTTCTCGTTATCTTCCCAGTCATCTAAGGTCACGCAGGGATCGTCGCCTCCAAATTGTTTGGGTATACCGGAACACAGTATGAGAGTTCCGTTCTTCTACATAAAAGCGAAGGGCTTTGGGGTGAGAACCATATCGGCGATGACGGTTCCAAAACTTGATTCGGTGCTTCGATTATTTGCATATGCACCAAATTGAAGGCCGATTTGTACAATGCAATGGACTAATACAAGATAGAAGAATACTTTGGTCCACCTGGTGAGATTCACGCGAGTCCACTAAGCCAACCAAGTTAGCAAGCACACATAAATTGATAGAAAAATGGGATTCGTACAAACAAGTTGAGGGTGGATGGTAAGGGTACCACCTCCCACAGGTCCTTGAACCTCATACCAAAAGAGCGAAACGGTGCACGTTAAAGAGTGTGTGGGATGTCCAGTAGAATGAAAATATCCAAATTAAATCTAGCGAGGGCCCGAAAAGAAAGATAGAGCCTCGCGAGAGTACTGCCCAGAGTATTGAAGAAAAAGAGGAAAGGGGAAAGGTGATGAAAGGAAAGCAAGTCGTCAAAGGGAGTAAAGAGTGCTTGGCAATGTTGCCAACACTCCTTTTAGTTGGTGTTGCCATGGGTTGCCACTGCGGCAAGAAGCGGAGGTCGAGCGCCGCATTCGGGATACAGTAGCCCACCTGCCATCACTAGGCCCTCTATCACGCGAGGGCCAGTTCAGGGGGTTTATAAATTAAGAATCGGTCCCTCAAATGCCAGCTCAAAATAATAAGCTTTCGTAAAAGCGGAGACTTGGGCCTGGTCGAGCCCCAGTCGCAATCAGACCGTTGCCCTACGGATGCAGAAGAGCAAGAAGCTATCTACTGTCAATGAACGAACAGTTGATGGAGCGTCGGACCTACCCAATCATCATACTCCGACGCAACTTGTCGAAACTGGCTTCTCTTCATCTGCGAGCGATACTGGATCTCGTCGAAGGTCGTGCGACCATCAAAGTACTCACAAACTCTTTATGAAATGTCAGCGAGATAAATGATGGACATTATTTGCGCACCTCAGAAACCGTTCTTCGAGATCTGGCCGTTTCCTTGCAATGGCATCGATCCAGAGCTGCTCCAGGCGAGTCGCCTTCCCAGGGTCCATGATAAACGATTCCTCAAAGTCTTCTGGAATATCGAATTCTGGGCCATCTTCGTCTCGATCCTCAATTGGTTGCAATTGATCGCGCGTGGGCGAGGACTGCCGGACAGTGTCATCTTCCTTTTTGCCATTTTCAAGTAGCCTTGCATCGGAATCCCTTCTTTCGCGTCCACCGAGCCCAGAAGGTTTTCTCTTCCTCCCTCTCTCTTCACCGGATCCCTTGAATCTCGCCTGTGCCTCGTTGTATACTTGTTGCTTAATTTCAGAAGTTGCTACGAGTCGAAAGCGGACATGAAGCATGATCAAGGCATCATTCTTCAGTAACCATATAAGTATTTGGTGATATAGTTCATAGTGATCGTCAGATGGCACAAAGTTGAAGAAGGCTTGGGGAGAGGAAGATATGGCGGCTAGAATGGTCTCTAGTGCCGGCGTCGTGGGTGGAAAGGTCGCTTTAAAGCGTCCGCAGA